CCTGAAACGCCCCTACCTCCTTTATTTTCCTCACCAGAAGCAGTGATTGTAGGGATTCCAACACATAAACTAAGTTTCTTTGAGAAGGTCTAAAGCTGTCTCTTATACACATCTAGATGTGTATAAGAGACAGACATTACTTTGAGGTTAATTGTCAGCTGAATTACTTACCTTAAATCAGCTGTTAAAACAGCAACATGCACGTGCACATGTATACACACATGAATATTATTTAAATATCTAATTCGTGTTGAATCCACATATGCTAAATATAAATGTTATGGTTGGTTCAGTATGATAATGGGAAAGTCATGATTATTTTAAAAATCTCTTTTAGCTGAACACCACTCTTCTACTTGTGTAGACAATCTGGATTTGTACCACTAAATTCAGATTTAAAAAGTAGCTAAGACTATGTTTCTTATTCCCAACACAGTGAAGAGAGATTATAATCAAGGAAGATGTGTAATGGCATCAAAAAATGCTGCATCTTTTGTACCTACATTAGTACCTGAGAGGGACCTAGATCAGGCTAAGAAAATGGGGGGAAGAGCCTGGGAATGGTGCCTTGCGCCTGTAATCCCAGCACTTTGGGAGGCTGAGGCAGGCAGATTGCTCGAGTCCAGGAGTTTGAGACCAGCCTAGGCAACGTGACGAGACCCCATCTCCACTAAAAATACAAAAATTATCTGGGCATGGTGGCGCATGCCTGTAGTCCCAGCTACTTAGGAGGCTGAGGTGGAAGGATCACCTGAGCCCAGGAGGCAGAGGTTGCAGTGAGCCAAGATCACACCACTGCACCCCGGTCTGAGTGACAGAGTGAGACCCTGCCTAAAAAAAAAAAAAAAAGAAAAAAAAAGAAAAGAAAAGAAATGGGGCTATAATCAGAATATTTTAGAATACTTTTACTAATACCGTTTATTCATTAATTTGCCAATGTTTTCACCAAATATTTTTCTACATTTAAGCATGGGAAGTAAATGCAACAGCAACAGTTTCTATTCTCCTGAAGCTTACATCTGTCTCTTATACACATCTAGATGTGTATAAGAGACAGCTCTTATACCGTTGGTCCCTCTGGCAACCAGTTCCTATCCTGAAGTTGTCTAGGGCGTCGATGAGAGTCACCTCAGTGACATAGACTCAGGGATG